ACGAATAGCGGATTCCCCGGCGTCATTCAGCATGCCTGCGGTTGGAGAATTGCATCTTGCCCGGCTGCTAGGCCCGGTTGTTCGCCACTTCAAGTGGAAGGTGACTCAGCAAACTCAGACCTCCTGTGAATGCGCGCATGTCTTGCCTTTTCTTAGTAGGGCGCCAAGCTTTGGATCCCAGCCAGCTGTTGACAGGAAGCCCTCCGAGCCGCCTACCGATGTGAACCTGAAGGGTATGCGGCCTGAAAAAACCGGATCCTAATGGTATGTCCTTACCCTGAATTTTCAATGTTGCCTGCTCTAATCATTGAAGGATGCCAGAGCGGAACCAGCCACCTCAGAAGGTCTTTCAAATTAAGTATCGTTTCACATCCACACACGGCAGTTCTTCTCTAAAGGGCAGCGGAAACGAGGTTCACAAATGTTACCCCCCCAACAAACGCATTTGGAGGGTACTGACCACTGAGGGGCCCCCACCCCTGTCAAAGCAGGCCTCGAGCCAATCTTCCAACTAAGGGGGTTCCGTTGCGTTTCACCAAAGGTTTCAGGATGTCAGAGGTGAAGTCTTGCCCATGAGCATATCGTCCTATGCCAATTCAGAATCACCAGCAAAGCGCAAGGACACCCATGGCACCCAAAGCAGCACGTCCTTCTTCTCTATCACTTTCACCTCGCGGCGCGCTCTGCCCCCCGCCCCCTCCGTTGCATTTCTTGACGTTCCTCACGTTTACGGACGCATCCTAGCAGTCTGTTTCCACGGAAACGGAACACCTGCTTTCGTGTTGCACCGCGCTGGAAAGGCAAACTGGAAAAAGGGAATGCTGCCGTCTCCCAGCCACGCGGCAGCACGCTCGGCTCCATTGGCGGTGATCATGGCACTGCCTTAGTCCGACATCCTGGCACGGCTTGAAGGGCAGTTTCAAAAATATTGCATTTGGAGAAGCCATAGTCTGGACACAGAACCAAATTCAGAAGACCTGTTTTTTTTGGAAGGGATTGACTGGTTCTCGAATGACATGCCTGATTTGGGCCCCATCCAACATGCAGCGAGGCTGACCACCTCCCGACACGTATTGTTGCCCAGCCGCTCACAGTGCCAAACTGCCCCGCCCCCAGCTTCTCCTGGCGAGGTTGCAATTTGGTGTCCCACAGCACTGGGTGAAAAGCGTTAACCCCTATCTAGATCCAATCAAGCACTGGCCCGCATTATACGCATATATACATATGTATATATATATATATATATGTATGTGTGTGTGTACATCAGTACTATGTGCAGGAGCCCTTCAAAGGCCCTCCAGTGCCCCCAGCGGCACGGGTCTCTGGCATGGCCGACCAGTCGGCCAGTGGACTTAAATGCATTGTCAAAATCTGGTCAAAAGGTTGATGCCGACCCCATGTTGCCACAAACAACACGATCAACCAGTTGTTGTTTTTGCTGCGGGTACAAAGTTCAATGATGCTGACCTGCAAGTGTTGCTTTCTCAACTCATACTGGCTTAATCCTTTTGTGCCGCAGGCTTTGCGCTGGTTCTGCCCGTGGCATTCACAAGGACAGCAAATCTGATCGGAAGGCCTGGCACCTCTTGGTGCCCCGTATTGGACCTGCTCCCCCTGGCAGCTCCCTCAGCCCAGATCAGCCCAGTCCTTGACAGTGTAAAAGGCCTGCAGGGCGAACGGGACGCGCGCCCCAAAAATTCGGTGTGGGCAGTCTGGGTAAGGCTACCTTCAAAGCAAAAGGCAACTGAGAGCAAAGTTTTTATGAAGCTGCGTGCACGTCACAACTCAGCTCCCAGATGTCAAACGAAGGCAATCGCAACCCCGAGGACGACTGTCTTACGAGATCCGTGGCCTCGAAGCCCCCTGGGTTCTCGATGACTACGCAGAGAGCCGACGAAGCTGTGCTGCAAGTGCTCTTGATGAAGAAATCCTTCCTGACGGTGCACAGCCGAATTGGCGAATTGGGGCGGTAGGTTTCAATGACCCCGTTTGAGAAATCTTTGAAGCACGGGGTGCCGCACTCAGCATGATCGCACCATTCGAAGGTGCCAACCGCCAACCTAGCGATCCACGTAAGAGTTGTGAGCGCGACAAGGCAGCCGCCAACAAAACCCCAAACGATTTCTGGAAACGTTGCAGTCCCAGGATTCAGCGCCATGAGCTTGAGTTACCCTCAGGCTAGAAGGCCAATGTGAGAAGATGTCTCTGCACTCATCTGCTTCGCCGAGGTTGATGTTCCCACCGGGCTCTCCCCACAAAGGACGAACAGTGTGTTGACACATTCTGCTGCATCTGCCTGTTTTGAGTGAATGTCATAGCCCTTGATTTGCCAAACACTCCGAACAGTCGAGAAAAGACTAAGCTGTGATCTTGTGCTCGGGCCGACATGTACCCAGTGTCTACAACCCCTTCCATGTGGTGCGTGTGGCTATCTGGTTGGGCTAAGCCGGGGGGGGGGGGGGGGTTCTGACTTGCTGTTGCCTCAAAAAATGGTTCACTTCTTTGAAGGCGACCTCAACTTCTTCCCACGTGACGAGGGCTGAACCGCGATAAGCAATGTCTTTCCACAGCCAAGTCCGACAACCGAAGGCGACCGGCCTTTGCCACTCCTTCGGCGAAACTACGTTCGGCACATCCTCTGAGGGTGGCGGCTTGACCTGTGACCATACAGCAAGTCAATTAGCTTTGCCCTCATGTCTCCCAACAAGGTAGCAGTGCCACGAGTACTTGAAACTGAAGTCAAGGACAAATTGAATCAAGTTCCACTCATCTCAGCTGATCTCTTTTGCCTTTCCCCGCAAAACAAAACACGCTTGACAAAAGCCCTCACCTTCGGGGCCAAACAACAAAGGTCGACCAATAACGTGAGAGGTCGGCCTGAGTATTTCGAGCCAAGACCTAGCCGGAGCCTCGTGGTCATCTTGCTGGAGATCCAGAACTGGCAACATCTGAACGAGTTGCAGCTCTTTGATCGCCTGTGCGAGAACGCATTGAAACTGGGCTGCCCTCAGATCCCCCACTAAAAGTTTAACCTTTAGTGGGTTAAATGGCTGCCACTAAACACGAAGAAGCTAACAGGCTAAGGAACCGGATGGCTGGGAGCCACCAAGGAAATTATTGGCTCGCTCGGCACCATGTTTGCCGGTGCCTAAATGCTGCCGCTTCAGCATGCCGAGGCAAAAGAAGCATGCCACATTGCAGAAAAACGTCGACTGGAAAAAGCGACCGGACAACCAGCGGCCTCGTCATCTTGCTGCTGGACGTTGTCAAATGAGTCTCCTACATTCAACGCCTGCCACCGGCGCGAGGCCCCAAATGGGCGACGCCAGTGCCATGCGTTTCAGGGTGCCTTTCCTCAACAAAGGACTCTTGACTTCTGTGAAATGGCTGGCTTGAAAAGGGCAATCTCTTATTCCATTCGTTTGGGCATGGAAGCGTGGCCTGGGTTTCTTGATTTTGTCACCTGCAAACACTGAGACGTTGGCCCCATCCCAGCCATCCATGTCTCAAGCCACCGAGCAATGGAACCCAAGCGCTCAGAAGGCGCAGAAGGCCTGCGCTTTGATGGAGATCAACTCCTCGGTGACACAGCTGCAGTTGATGCCCATGGACACCTAAGGGCAAGGGCCCGCGAGCCGGGGCTCAGGCCAGCTAGCCCTCTCTCACCTTTCCAGGTAGTTTGGCACCTGTTTCTGTAGGGCCCTTCCCTCTCTCTTCAAGAAAGGCACCATGCGCGCAGTATACGTCGTGAGCAACCAGTGCTGTTCAACTTTGATTGGCAAAGGGGAGGTCTCGCTCTACAAGTAGCCCCAAAAAGGAGCGTTGACATATGTGTCGTTGATGCATCAAAAAGTCAGCTGGCCATGTTGCCAAGAAGTCTGAAAGATTAGGATCGGTACTAGGATCAGGTTCTAACATTTAAGTCAACAATGGTTTAAGAGGGGCAATGCTACAGCTCTTGCTCAGATACAGCTCTTGCTCTTGCTCGGGTACAAGCCTGGCAAACAGTCAAACATGCTTTCAACCAAGGTGAGCGGACGGCCTGAAGAAGGTCTCAAAACGAGAACTCTGTGGCACTGGCCGCACGAGATTGCCCCACCCAACGGCCGGCACATGCGGCTTGGGGAGGCCGCCTGAGAAAAGGGAGGTAGGAGGTTTGGCAAGAGCACCGCAAAAAAAAAGAAAAAAAGGGGGAAAAGGCAAAATGCCCTTCCATGCCCTTCCAGTCGACGTCGAATGGCACTTCCCGGGAAGGTTGGCGAACTGGCTCACTGGGTGGCCGGCCCCAATCGCCGCGAGTCGACATTGACCGGGAGAACGCGGCAGCTGCAGTCCCTCTCTCTCTCTGTCTGTGTGTAGATGGGTGGATGGGTCGGTGGATGGGTGGATGGATGGGTGGGTGGCTGGGCTTCCATCCGAAGAAACAGAGTCCAAGAATCCTAGCTTCCTCCTGTCCAGATTCCAGGCAGGAAAAAAAGGCTCGTGACGCGGCTGAAAGCTGCTCTCGTACCAAACTGATAGATGGCTCCGGCAAGGGTACTGTTCACGACCCAGGCAATCCTCGCATGCAGCCCAACACACTTGCAACCACAAATGCACCATGTAAGCTTGACATCGACTCATCCTTGGCATGCAGGCCACGGGACCTAGTAAACCAACACTCCCCTGATCGCACACTATGTGAGCAACATGCGCGAGATTGAGTCACACGGCCTAGCACAGCCCAGCTTCCAACCTAATGATGATTAGCTTGTATACACCTGAGCTTGCTTACGACGGATGACCCCAGCGTGAAGATTTGGTGCAGAGTCCCCCGCCACCCACTTTGGGACCACAAGTTAAGTTTGTTTTGGGGCCGCTGTATTCCGACCCGTCGCGAGGCAAGACAATGACAGCGCATGAATGACCGTCTGAACATTCCAATTTGGAGAGAGCATTCCAAAGCGGTCCAGTGAAACGGTCCAACTCAACGTCCGCCGAACCCGGCAGAGGCGCCGGGCTACCGTGCAGTCATAACCTCGCCATGGACGAACATCGGGTTCTCAATACGAAGGATGGTACATCGGGGGAAGGGAGGAGCTGTCTTTCAAGTTGGCTGCCTGCAAAGCTCAGCTCTTGCAACACGTGGCCATGGCTGCGGCCCCCGTAAGCTAACACGGCAGCCGAAGCTCAACCTTTCAGAAAAATGTCAGGTCCTCAGCGGCAACCGGCCTGGGCCAACTCCATCTACATACAGCACCTGGCAAAGCTGGGGCTGAGTGCCTGCCCTACCCAAATAGAATCTTCAGCAGCCGTATGCAAGTGTAGCTGAAGAAAGTGTCTACTTGGCCCGGCTCCATAAGAGCCCCGAAGATAGTTGCCACATGTAGCCGCCCAAAGCCAACCTCTCCACTGATTTTCGCAAGAGTGGCGATTGGGGAACCGGAGCCTAAAAATGGGCCATGTCAGCGCATCCTGCTGCCCGCACTCTCGCGATATGCGAAGGAGCCCAAGTTGCCGCCCAGCTCGCCTTCTCGGGCGCATCCAGCAGATTCCAGTTGGGATCTGTGTACTTGGTGCCTTCGTTGCGGCCTGAGCGCAACCAGAAGGCTTCGTACTTCCCACAAGCATGGGCCGTTGGCTTGTGATAGCATGCCAAGCTCGACCAAGACATACAGTTCTCGGAATGTCCCTGGTAGCAATTATTTGTTCAGGTGATTCTTTACTGTAGCCTACCTCAGGTCTACCAATGTATACTTGTTTTGTAGTTGCCACGCTGTGTAGGTGAAGGGTAGCAGCAGTTCTTTCTGACAGTCAAGAGCCCCGCCAGGTCTTTTCCATGCACGTGGCAAGCCGTGAGCAAGCCAAGGTCCGCGGCATTTCTCGATGATCTGGTTCACGCTCCAGATGCAGTGCTCGCGGTTGCCCTGGCCAAGCTTGCAAGCAGGGCCTTCTGAGCAAGACCAGAGGTCACAGCCTGCCCAGTATCACTTGCACAGGGGAAATCACTGGCAGTTCCAGGTAACGAAGAAACCCGTGCCCTGACCCAATAGGAGGCACCCTGATCCGGCCTGCCGGCCCGCGTGGCAAGTCAGCAGCGGCGGGCAGATGTTTGCCTCCCTAACCTGCCCCAAGGCCCGGGAGTTGCAGGTCTCCAGTTTCCCTGAGCGGTTGCCACACTTCGTGTGTGTCTTTTTCTGAGGTAAAATGAGGGCACAGCCGGAGGCATTGGGCAAACAAAGGAACCCTTGAAAAGGTTCTTAAGGCGCTAGAAATCAGGTGGAATCAAAGGGCTGAAAGGCTGCAGAAGAATGCCGCATGCCGCAGCTCGGCTGCTCGTCAGAATGGGCATCCTCGCAATCTTGCTTGGCCCCAAACACGAAGTTGAAGCACGTGTTGGCTTCAACCCATTGATTGGTGAACATTTGCCCCCCCTTTGCAGCCACCCTCCCCGGAACATCAACACGCATGGCATCATGACATTCTTCGTGCAACGACATCTCAAAGCCACATACGCAGGGGGAGAATACAACTCTGGGGTGTCTTATTTGTTTGTTTTTGTCTTTCGCTCTCCTTCTCAGCCTGTCAAGTTCAAGCGCTTGCCACAGACCCTACCCACCTGCCACCTGCCTACATTCTCCCAGGCCACCCCTCCACACCTTTTCCACCAACTCCATGGGATGCTCCCGCAATTTCTGCAACTCTTTGTAGCTGGCTTTGGAGAGAACCACCTCAAACGCGCTCTTGTGGCAACTCTATGTTTTGCCCCTCCTAACAGCTGATTTACTTCTAGCTGCTTCCTGAGTTACAGGCCAAACCGGAGACGCCCGATTCTGACATATTGCAGCTGTCAAATCTCAACACAGGCCTGGTCTGAAAGCTTCTGGTGGGCAACATTTAAGCTTGCAAACAAACCACAAATAGTGATCACAATGCAGAATGGCAAAGAACAATGTTCAAGCCTTGCTTGAAGCTGCCTTACGAGGACCAGTGCAGCCAACAAGGCCCAGCCGGCAGGAGGCAAACTGATTAGGAACCGAGCCGTTCCGTCGTCCACCTCGGCAGCTGCCAACATTCAGCTGATGTGATGCATCCGAGCCACTCTCAAATTCTGAAGCCTAGATTGCAAGAGGCCAGTGCTACATGCACCAAAGATTGTTCTCTGCAATGATGATACACCCCTTGGAGCAATGGTACACCACCGAGCCTCTGCCGCCACCAGGCATTTCTCTTTTACCCCATGCCGCAGGTTGAACCTATTTTTCCACGCCGAGAAACAACGTGCTGTCCGACAAAGCTATGCCAGCAAAGACCTCTGGCGCATGCAAACAAGCAAATACATACATGTCGATTTCAAAGCGCGGACACCAACGATCCGGGGTCCCAGGCAACCTCCCAGGCCTGGTCTGCGGATTTCTGCTTTTGAAAGAGCCCCCAAAGCACCTGCAGAAGGCGTGGCGGAAGGGCTATTTCTTTTCCTAGGTTCGGCCAGCGCCAAAATGACGTATTTTGGGGCATTTTGCTAGCGAAATGCACCTGCTTTACACCAGCACCGTCAACATGTCCAGCATCGTTTTCAGCACCCCGGCGTCACGAGAAGCTTTGGTGTAGACTGAGTTTAGGGTGAGTTCAAGGATTGTTTAGATTAGGTTTGGGTGGGGCTTGGCTTTCTTTTGCCTGGGTGTACGGTTGGTTAGAAGCTTTGGTGTAGACTGAGTTTAGGGTGAGTTCAAGGATTGTTTAGATTAGGTTTGGGTGGGGCTTGGCTTTCTTTTGCCTGGGTGTACGGTTGGTTTAGGGTTTGCATACAGAGGGTTTAGGGTTGGTTTAGTGCTGGTTGAGGGCGGGCTTAAGGTTGGGCAAGGGTTGGTATAATCTTAGGGTTTGCTTACGTGGCCTAGGAATTGTTTAGTGCCGGTTTACGGTGGCTTTCGGGTTGGTTTAGGGCTGGGTTGGGTAAGGTTGGTGCATTGGGTGCTTCGGGTTTAGGCTGGTTTACGTTGGGTTTAGGGTGGTTGGCGCTGGTTTGAGGTTGGTCGAGGGCTGGTTTAGGTTAGGGTTTAGTTTTGGCTTTGGGCTGGTTTAGCGGTTTGCGGCTGGTTTAGGGTGTTTCGGGTTTCTACAGGGTTGCGTAGGGTTTCTTTGGTCGGGTTGGTTTAGGGTGGTTTTAGTTGTGCTTTGAGCTAGGCTTAGTGAGGATTTAGGGCTGGTTGTAGTGTGGTTGCTTGCTTGCTTGCTTGCTTGCTTGCTTGCTTGCTTGCGCGCTTGCTTGGCTTGCTTGGGTTGCTTGGCTTGCTTGATTGCTTGATGGCTTGGCTTGCTCGGCTTGCTTGGTTGCTTGGCTTGGCTTGGCTTGGCTTTGCTTGGCTTGGCTTTGCTTAGCTTGCTTGGATACTTGGGTACTTAACTTGTTTGGTTGCTTGGCTTGCTTGGTTGCTCGGCGCTCGCTTTGCTCGGCTTGCGTGGCTGGTTGCTTGGCTTGCTTGATCGCTGGATTGCTTGGCTTGTTTGTCTTGCTCGACTGGCTTGGCTTGCTTTTCTTGCTTGGCTTGCTTGGTTGCTGGGTGGCTATGTTGCTTGGTTGCTTGGTTGGGTGGTGACTGGCTTGCTTGATCGCTTGATCGCTTGGCTTGTGTGGTTACTTGGTTGTTTGGTTGTTTGATTGGATAGATGGTTGGCTTGCCTGGTTGCATAGTTGGTCGGTTGCACAGTTGGTTGGATGATTTGCTTCCTTGGTTGCTTCGCTGAATGGCTGGCTGGCTGGCTGGCTGGCTGGCTGGCTGGCTGGCTGGCTGGCTGGCTGGCTGGCTGGCTGGCTGGCTGGCTGGCTGGCTGGCTGGCTGGCTGGCTGGCTGGCTGGCTGGCTGGCTGGCTGGCTGGCTGGCTGGCTGGCTGGCTGGCTGGCTGGCTGGCTGGCTGGCTGGCTGGCTGGCTGGCTGGCTGGCTGGCTGGCTGGCTGGCTGGCTGGCTGGCTGGCTGGCTGGCTGGCTGGCTGGCTGGCTGGCTGGCTGGCTGGCTCGCGGCTTGCTAGCTTGCCCGTTGGCCAATTTGCTGGGAAGGGACGGCCTCGAACAAAGCAACCTTTACTCGTATAAGCATGTATGCGCAAGGCTTGAATAACTTCATTTCAGGGTTAGATTCGAAAATCGCTAAATCCACTTGTAATTCTTGGGAACCTTCTCATGCACAGGGGGATCCCTCTCTGCGACATGGTGTGCATTCCCTCAGCCCTCTTGACTTTGCAAGGAGCTGTAAGGAGTATGATGTGCCTTGGCTGAATGCGCTAGACAAAAACCACTAAAGCGAATGGACGGCTACCGGCACCGACCCATTAAATAGTTCTGCGCTACTTGCTGAGAGTCATCCACTGGTGAAAAGGCTTGTAAGGGATTCCTGGGAAAAAGGTCTTTGTCATGCATTGCCCATACCTCCCTGCCCGGGAGGCGTTGCACCAGGCACAGCTAGGCACTTCCAGCCTCAGCCACTGCCAGGTCCAGCGCGTTGTGGGTGGCGAAGGTCATGTAGCCTTATGCCATTCCAATTGACGAACTTAGCTCTTGACTCGGGCTTCGCACTTGTCCACGGGCCCTGACATAAAAAGGAGGATGCACTTTGAAGGGGGACTGAAAATGGACCGAAAATAGGAATGAAAGCAAAGATCCAGTCGGCTGTCAAGCAAGCAGGCCCGAGGTTAGAGGGCCCCGGCTGTCTCCGTCCGCCTCAGCTGGGGCAGTTTCTGATGGCCGCACTCCGCAGTACACATCGCTTCTCTGTCTCAACAAACCACGCGCTTTGCCAAGGAATACCTTGGGGGACACAAACCATGCGCAAGATCCGGGATTGGCTGAAAGCCGCAATCCCTCATCGTTGAGGCACGGCCCTCTAGAGGTGCAGCAACCCTCTTTACGGCCTCATCACAAGAAGAAGAGTTCCCAGCAAACAGAAACATGCCCGAGCATGGGCGCCTACTCGTGTATCGCACAGTTCCTGCCCTGTACCCGTGTCCCCCCCACACCGCATTTTCCCTCGCCGGCAAAGCATGCTTTCTGCTTCTTTCCGGCCCAAGGAGCCAGCACCTGGGTTGGGACAAGGAGACTGTTGAGATCCATGTCCCACCCAGAACCTGGTCTTCTCGGGGAATTTTCGGGGAAACCTCAAATCAAGGGGCGGTACCAAGGTTGGTATTAGGGTTCGTGACAGGCTTTCTTGCAAGAAACGGATTCTTGAACGTTGCGGCCGCATTCGGCCATCTTGAAACACATTGCTTCTTGGTTCAGGGGCATTATTGGTTCCACCGGTGCGCTGTTGGAGATGTGTTTCCTCTGGTAACCCTGGCAGACTGGACAGCATGACAAGGTCAGGCGTGATGTGTCGGGCCACCAAGCTTGAGGAGAGCCATGGCAATGGCAGGGGAACAGCATTGACACACCAAACCATGTGATCTCAAGGATCCTGCAGCCCAAAACAGCCTTAGACCAACAGCCAAATACATCCAACAGCACCCCAGCCAAAACCAACTGGGCCTCTCAAGGCTTGAGGGCTGAAACGCTTCCTTGGCAAAGCGATGAGCTGGGTGGTTTGCAAAGTACTGCATAGTACTGCAACCTCCATATTGCTGCAGCTCCATGATTCTAATGCGTCACTATGGCATAACCCACACTGATTGTTGGATCGCACGCGGCGCTCGGGCAGTGGCCTGTCTGAACACTCCGGCAGAATGTGCTGAACCCCCGCCCCCCTGATAGTGGACATGCTTCACCCAAAGAGATGTGGTTAAAGGGTATACCCCTGCCTGCCAGCTGAGCTGCTTTGGCCGGGCCTCACATCGTAGCGCAGTTGTCTGTTCGGCTGAGCCTCTTCTTCCGCTCCTCTGGTCACAAAAAGCGAATGCGCAAATGATTGGTCGGCTGCATGCAAATCTGTGGCAAGCACATCATTCTCTCTCCCCATCCGCTTCCCACGCATCTGCCATGTACAAACCAACAGGTAAATGTTGGTGACGAGCTTGCCAACAAGGCTGTAATTCGGGGGCACCCTCGACAGTTCCGATGCTTCATGACCGGCAGGTATTGAGCTCCTCCACTTGCTTTCTCAGTGTTGAGGACGCCCACCAGTCAGTCCTCAGCTGCAGCGGCTGTTTGCCTTCCCGAACCATTGGGGGGATGATTTCGAGACACGGGAAGTCCGGATCTCGATACCATCTTGGAGGATCATGGCACGACCATGTCATGAGCAGTTTTCCTCCAAGACTCTTTGAAGCTATCTCCTCCAACATCTCCAGGAAGAGTTCCTTGCGCACACCACCACGGAAAAAAGACATCTGTCCAGCCGATTCTGCTCTGAGGTCCAGAAAGCCCGTCCAGCAGATCCAGCTAAAGGAAGACGGATGTAGTTGCAGGGATTCTCTTACTTTGGCACCTGGACCCTACTGCCTTTCCTGGGTGCCCCTGCAAACACCCCTTGGTGAATGTGCACGCCTTTGGCGTGCGTTCAGGGTTCATGTCTTGAAGCTGTGACCCAAGCTTCTGAATGGATATCCTTGTCGGGCACGTTGGCATACAGTAGCCGGCGCTTTCCTTCTACTAAAGTGACTAAAGCATGGAGAAAGGATTCATCCGAGGCGCCCGGATCCCCGTGTAGTCCAGGGCGGAAACTTCCCTGAACTCCACCCTTGGTGACTCTCTGAAAGGCAATTGTCACTGGCCTCCATGCGTCTGTTCAGAAGGCGCGCCATCTCTGGAGAAGAACAGCCTTAAGCCTGTGACACATTACCCAAAAAACATCTCTTCAGAAAATGGCCTAAACTACTGGGAAAGCTGAGCGGTTGTGGAAAAATGATGGGTAAAGACCCCACTACATGAGTTCTAATCATGTCGTCTTTAGAGGATTCCTTTTGGGCGCATGGCTGTGCCAAAGCAAGCGGCTTTGGCGAAAAAGAGCTTCGAGGCAGGGTTGCAAGTGGACAAAAATTGGCTACGGGATCAGCTGGCAAGTAGTGTCCCCTTTAGGTGACTTTGAGCACCCTTGCCAAGTTGAAGTGACGCGCTCACTGGCATCCTAAAGATTCTCACCGCCCAACATCTACTCCTGCAGCCAAAGCAGCCCCTCCACATCGTAGCAGTAGTCGTTCCTAAGCTGCGCCATCTCTGGAGGCCTCTACGACCTACATTGGTGTCTCAAGGCCCGAGAATGCCTTCCCTGGCCCATGAAAACTAATGGCCTAAGCGCGCATGCAAGCAGCGATCACCGACCATTTCTGCGCGGTCTCTTTCAATACCCTGCCATTCAGCCGCACATACCTCGTGCATCCAAGTTGCGCGGCACGCCGCGTTTCCTGAGCGCAAGTAGGGCCCAACCCCTTAAACCTCCCTGTGGCGTCCTAGGCTGGAAGCATAGCATGGAGCAAACCGGCCAGCCCTGGCTGTTTGCTCCAGACGAGGCAAGCTCAGCAACGTCGCTGTATTGGGCGGCTCTCCAGCCAAGCATCTCTGAACACCTCTACGGTTTCCAGATTCTCTGTGTCAATCTTGTTGCACACCAACTTCACAGGCATACCTCGGCGCTTCCGATCAACGGCGATGCCCCACCAGCACGCGGCCAACCATCCGGACAGGCCTTCCCTGCTCTTTTCGGACTTTCGCCTGCTTCGAACCATGCCAAGCCCCTCGGGCACAGTGTACCAACCTGAGAGGCCAACGTAAACGAGTGCCAACATTGGGCCTGGACTCCTCTCCTGGACTCCCGGAGGAGGCTTTGGTTCATCCCACCCCTAGAGCTTCGAGCATTCACTCCCCCCCCTTCCACAAACCCAATCCCTCTCGCACATTCTCCGGGCCGCCCTTCTCCAAGCCGCTCCCGCTCAAGGCCCTCATCCCCTGCAGGCAGGGCCACGCAGTGTAAGGCTCGGAAGCATCGCATCCCTAGTCGGCGTTCGCCTCTTCTTTTTCCCTCCTCCTTCTTCTTATTCTTTTGCTTCTGTGTCTTCTCGCTTTTGGAGTGTGGGGGGAGGGGGGGGGCATGATAAGAAACTCCAAGGATACACCCTCAGGGCTGCAACTCTCGTCTATAGACCCGGGGCTGAGAAAACTCTAAGCGCGCTCAATCAGGATGTCTTCGCGCAGGGGATGCCATTGAAGGTGCTACAAAGACCTTGCCTGGAAAACCTGCAGACCTGAAGCCATTCCGAACCCGCAGGTCCCCCCGTCCTCAACCATGGCTTTCGCTTGCAAGAAGGACTCCATGCTGCCCCCATCAAACAGCACTATGAAACCTCGGAGACGCCACAAAGCACGCCTGCAATGTTGCTGTCTTGTTGGTTTTCGACAGTGCACTTGGCCGAAAGCTAGGCGCCGTGTGAAATTTGCCCATTCAATGCAATGACATGAAACGCAAAAGAGCGGCGAGGGGTGCTTCTGAGGGCTTGCGTTGTCTTTGCACACATTCAACGCAACCACATGCGTAGCTCTTGCGCCAAGCTTGATACAGTCGAGGCGCTTTGGGACGGCAAAAGAAAAACGCCCCTCAAAAATGGGCGCTAGTTTATTTGCTGATGCACAAGCAGCGCTCAACAAACTGAAATAAGCTAGTTCAAGATGGTTGAGACATAGTGCTCTATTGTGTGTCACCCAGGGTCGCAGCAGGTGCTGAGCGTAGCTGCACGTCATGGGTGCGGAACTGGGTGCATGGGCGCAGGTCAGGGATGTGGGTACGGGTGGTGGTTGGCGGAATGTCCAGAATAAACTAAGCGAAGTGGCATCACTTGGAAAAAACTGCAAACTTGCCAGCGCCCTGACAATTGAAACGCAGGTGATCGAGTGCGAGCCTACCCTTTGCTGTACCACGTTTCCTTGCAACCACTTCATAACACCATAGGCTCAACAGACACTTCTCAGAACCGTTTTCCAAATAAAAGCAAACAAATTCCGTATACTCTACGTGGACGGCAGGTGCTGCACACATGACGAACCCGCGTAAAAGAGGCATCGGTTGCGCAATTCCTGGCCTGCTTAGGACTAACGAAGCCAAGGCTTTTACAGCAAAGCTGTTTTTGCAAACGTACGTCCTTCTGGCAACTTGAAGCTACTGCAAAGCTCCAGCGTGACAGGCAGGCAAACCACAAACTGCGAAGAGCTAAACGCAATCCTGCTGGCTTGCCTTAAGGAGTGTCCCATGATATGTCCACTCTGTTATGGCCAGCGGATGATATCATAATTAGTTCTCATTTTGCCTATGAGTGTGCAACCTCATTGCGTGTTGGCAAACATCTAGCGTATTGATTTATAGTCAACATTGTAACTGCAGAAACGTGAGTACTGCCGAAACTCACAGCGAGACTACTCAAAGGTGGTTCCAAAGAAAAGGGCAACCAAGTTGTGCGAAAAGGGCAACTCCACACCCTAGAAAGATTGCCTGTAAAATGGCATTCGTGTGAGCAAGGCATCGTCGCCGAAAATGAATCTGTAGAATCAAACATTCTAGTTGGTAGAACTTTGGACCACCTTTCGTGTCGTTACCCTGGCAAATGTGCTAGCGGCTTCACCCGAATATAGAACCAGGACGCATCATTGGCAGTGGGTGACCCGTGCCCTGAAGCTAAATAGCAGAGCCTGTGACGAAGACACTGACACCTTTTTTGGCTACACCGAATGGGTACCAAAATGGCGATTGTTTGTTCTGTTTGGAACCCCCTCTGCAACGCTTCATGCTGCTGTGCGCCGGC